TATGATTCTCATTTCATTTGTAAACAACTTACAAACAGTAATTCACAATTATTTGATCTGTTGATTGAATATTGCTGCAGGGGTAGTGCTAAGGGCAGATTGATGCTAAATGAGCCTCTAAAAATGTTAATGCTGTTAAATTAGTTACATCCTGTAATTCTGCATGAATTATAAGCACTGTTAGTTTTCTAGCACTAACTTTAATGCTTGAAATAGGCAGATTATTTGTAAAATCTTATAACAGCTTGAGATAATTAAAAGTCTACTTTCATTTATGTTTGGTGACCAGCCCAGGAACTTTTGTTGTATTTTAAAATGATTCCTAAATATTTAAAATTCTTGACTTGCTCAATATTAACCCCATCAATCTTCTACTTGCAAGCACTGAGATGTTTCCCAAATGCCACAGTTCTCATTTTACTGTAATGCAACACAAATCTGTTTTGCATTATGGTAAAATGCAATAATAAAACACTTCCATGTTTCTGTTAAAGAAATAGGGCTGAATGCTTAAAGTCTTTCTACTAACTGAGAAGTGTTGAGAGATTTTATTATATTCTTCAATATTGACGTAAAATACAGAGCACTAATGCTGTAACAATATTCCCTGAGAAACCCATTCTAAATGCCTGCTCCTGTTGAGAGAGTTTCCTGAGGATTAGTATTTATCTGTGCTGGTGTTTTGAAATACTAAAGTTTTTATCCATTGACTCAGGCAGAAGGCATCTTAAACCAGTGTATATAGCTGTAACTGTTGCCTTGTCTGTTTGGCTATTGATAGTTTTCTACGTGAAGAAATTACTGTCCTGCTGTGATCTGTGACTCCTCTGTTTAATTATAACTAATTACTTGGGAACAGATTCATCATAGAAATAGAAAACCTACTTCAGCTTGCTTCTCATGGCAACCTGGGATCTGACCTGAGACAAGATTCTTATCTCCCACTTAACATTGGGCTCCCCCCTCAATGCTCTCTTTCAGTAGATCACTCAGAAGCCTTCCAACCATCCCCCTAATAACCATGCCAAAAATGATTGGATTTACGTGCCAAGAATCTAGTTCTGCGGGAGTGGTGGTGCAAGGAAGGGTCATATTCTAATGACTTTGAAAAACGTTTGGGATGAACTACTGCAGTGTATCAGTATCTGTCTTTTTAGGATGAAGTATTTGTTGTAGGACAAGAACTTGTTGAAAAATATGGAGAAACATAGACCCATGGAGTTTGAAGGGATCTTAGTGGTCATATGGTCCAGCTGATTGCTCAGTGTCAGGTGGAAAGTCCCTGACAACCACGTCCGATTCATTATGGTAGGAGGAGAGTGGCAAGCTTGGAAGAATGGCAGAGGGCGATAAATGAATTACCTACCCTCTATGCCATCATAGATAAATACTGATCCCCAGGAAACTTACTGGGTGCTATGGTGTCTTAACAAACCTAGTGTGTTTTTCAACATCATTTATATCATTATTTGCTAGTGGTCTGGCTGAATCTTTATGAGAAATCTCAGGGGACAGATGAAATGTGTTCAAATGGAGGAAGTAAAATGTTCTCATCTTCAGAAAATGGGGAAATGGAAAACCCAGGGGGTTTCTGGCCAATCTGTCATTCATATCTGGAAACATTCTAGAATAATTCACAAAGTGATAGTCTGCAAGCACTCTGAAAACAACAATAGCATAACAATCTGCTTTGTCAAGAGATCATGGCAGGCTAACTTTATTTCATTCTTTTGATCAAGTAATATGTGTAGTGAGAGGCAGTTTGGTGTAGTGGTTAAGGCACTAGGTTAGAAACTGAAACTGAAACTGGGAGACTGTGAGTTGTAGTCCTGCCTTAGGTATGAAGGCAGGTGGGTGACTTTGGGTCACTCACTCCCTCTCAGCCCTAGGAAGATGGCTGTACCAAGCCATTTCTAAAAGTACTGCCTAGAAAGCTGCAGAGACTTGTCAACACTGGCTCGAAGGCCCAAATCCAGCTTGCATGGGGCGATAGGAGCTCTAATCATCCCTGGGGGTGGCTAGCGCCCTGATGACACTCCCTGAGTTATTCACCAATTCTCCATCATTCTTGGAATTTATTTATTATTTTGTTTTTATATTATATTTTAACTGATTTTATCTCTGTTGTAAACCTCCCAGAGTCGTTTCAACAAGATGGGCAGTGACAAATTTGATAAATAAGTAAATAAGTAAATAAATAAAATCAGTCTATCTCTCTATCTCTCTATCATCTGTCTTTCTCTGATTGTGGGAATGGTGTATGATGTAGGCCATCTTTATGACCATTTTCATGTATCATTCCATATCTCAAACAAACATCCCTTTGAGTTGAGCTCAGCTCAGCTCCTATTGAGTACATACTTTTTGTTTGATGTTCTCCTCCTCCTCCTCCTCCTCTTCCTCCTTCCCTGTTTAGACTACAGTCATGGTGCTTCCATCCAAATACGAACCAGGTCTGACCCTGCTTACATCTTGGGGTTCAGCAAGGTGACTCAACGTTTATTCCTTTTCTGTTGAGGGTTTGTGGATGAGAGCCCAGAATAACATTATTTTAGACCATTTTCCTAGAGAAACATGGCACCAGAGACCAATGGTACTACCAAAATATTTTAACTCCAAGTTTCATTTAACTGCATTAGTTTACAAAATGAAATAAGCCCCTGTTCCTTCTATGCATAGAAATGCTGTGCTCTCAGATTGCACACAGTTTTTAATCAGCATTTTAATTGTTGTAATACAGTATTGCCATCTTTTATGTAATCCATTCTGAGATATACTTTGTTGTGGTGGTTTATCATTACTTTTTTGCAATAAGGATATGATCAGAGTTGTTTTTCTTTTGAAGTAGAAGCTTGAATCATGTTGGGTAGGTATTCTTGCCTGCCTGTCATTCACAACTTGTAGGGAGACAATCGTTTTGTAGTGAGTGAGTAAAAACACACGTTAAAAATTAAAGGTTAATAACAGTTTCTAATTTCCTGCTGTTGCTTTATTTTGAGCAGCCTCAGTTGTAGTCTCTGTTGCTAGAAATAGATATGATGCCCATGGCATAGATAAAGTGACTACCCTTGTTTGATTGTGTTTGCAATGCACGTGCTACAAAACACATATATAACTTTCATCCACCATGTGGTACAAGCAGGTGTCTGCGGATACTTAGGTTCAAAGAACCATATAAATCAAATTGATTTATTTTTCACATGGAAACCACCCTATATGGCTGCTTCTTTCAGTTGTGTGAAGGAGAGAGTCACAGACTGTTGTTTCCTATTGGAAGCTGTTATTTGCAATCTCCCGTTGTTTGAGGTGTGACTTGGCACTACAGTCTTGTGAGAGCGCCTAACAAAAGCAACTCCCATATTCTCAGAATACCAGATTTTGGTTCATTTTCAGTGACAGGCCTGCTTTAATATCTATTATATGTTAGGATATTCTCATGGGAAGAAGAACAAATTGCTTATCTTCAGACACATTGTTATGGCTGCAAAAATCACGCCACCTGTATTGGCCTTCTAGTTTGCACGTATACTGCTATTTACTGCCACCTATTGGTGGCTTCATGTTAGTTACCCAAGGGGAGGTGCATAGTTGCAATAAATTGTGGGTGATTGTATGCCTCACTGCTAGTAGGGTTTTAGTCATCATGTAATCAGTTTTATAGGTTATGTAGTTGTAACTAATAACTAAGTAGCGTACCTCTTCTCTGAGAGTTTTTGGCTAGAGACTTTGTTGTACTTGTGTATTGGATAAGTCTTGGATGCCACATAAATGAGAAGAAGTGATTTTTCTATGTT